GTCCTCCTCTTCACTCTCACCAGACCAGAGGGAGAAAGCTCACTTGCAGTCTTCCACAAGGCAGTGGCGAGCTGGCAACCAATAGTCGGCGATTGTGCCTTACTCTGGATAGCCTGAATTAGCAGCTCATCTAGCCTAAAATAGTGTAGTTTGTTCTTCATCACAGGGTAAGAAACTGTAATCTCCCCAAAACAGCATGTTCCACCATCCTGTACTTTAGTGTAAAATCCTGCCCAGGGACAAAAGGAAGACAATAAAAAACTCTAGATCTCCAGCAAGTCGTTTTCAAGTTAAAGATTCAAAAGAAACTCCAAAGTTGCCAGCAATGCAGATATAATGATATGGAAATAAAATGATGGCATTAGCCCACTAGAAGTTGGCCGCTGGTGCTGGATCAAGCCTAAAGGTACATGTAAGTAGCTCAGTACCCAACCATATATGAATATATGGAAGGTCATCCATATACAGGTAAAAGTTACATTACACTCTTACAAAGTACTTGGGTTGCTGAAGTCTAAAATAACTGATTTTATCAATCGGGATCTTTATGTCAGAAATATTAACAAGAAGGCATGCAATTGCGCGAGCTTGGACTACAAAGTAACTCGTTGACATTCCGTGTTCCATGTCATCTCTACACTATTAAAGGGGGATCTGCTGTCGTCGTGATGGTTCCACCTCCTTACCACGTACGATTCCCTCACCCATCATTTTTCCCATCCCAGGGATCTGTCGTCATCGTGATGGTTCCACCTCCTCCTTACCACATACGATCCCCCTTCCCATCGTTTTTCCCATCCCCGCCGATCCCCACCAATTTTTTCCGTAACAAAAAGGAAACAACCCAACCCACGCACACACGTCTCGCCTATGTGATCCCTAACTGCCACAGGCCACTTACCTCTACACATGCACGATCTGCTAGGGCGAAAGAAATTGCTACCCTACTGTCGCCTCCTATCGCACTCCCTTCGTCGTCATGCTCGCCGTCGTGCCAGCCGCCTTATTGCCATGGTGTCCCTCCCTCCCTCCCTCTCACGATGGTTGTGCGGAAAGCGATCGGAGGGCATGGCCGGCAGCAGCACACGGAGGCTCGCAGCGGCACTTGTGGTTCATGCTTGCGGCGGCTGCGGAGAAACGTGCACAAGCCCAGGCAGGCAGCAGCCAGGAGCAGCGGGCGAGACCGAGGACAGGCTGTGCTCATGTTCGTCTCTCCCCTTCTCTCCCTCATATGCGATGTGCTTCCTCCTGTACACTACTCTCTTTACCTCTTGTATTTTTACTTTTCAAGCAACCTCTTTGCCTCTTGTATCCTGTAGCCCTAAGTATGACTTGTGCAAATCAAGATGAAAAATCTAGGTGGAGAGTTTGATGAAGGTATTTTTTTTCTGGTCAACAAAAATCAAGTTTGTTCCTACACTTTGATATTATGATTTGTGGTATAGTAAACACCATTGCTGCTTATTCAGTAAATATGAGAATATAAATGGGTAGCATGGTCTAATAAATAGATTATGGTACTTTTCTGCAAGTTATTTTATGAATGATAAAGATACAAAATTTATCATGTAATATTCAGATCTCACATTTATCTCTATACACTTATGGCATCAAAGGTCTTTGTTTCCTAGAAACCGAAAATAGATACAAGATCAAGGGGCTGTTTGGTTTGTGACTAAGATTGCCAAACGTTGCCGCATCTAATTCTAAGGTTAGGCAAGTTTGACCAACTTAGGTGAGTGTTTGGTTGAAGCCACACCTTAGGCAAGCCACAATATGGCCCCACGTGACATACACACGAAAAGTGTGGCAAGATTCCCTCAGGCTTGCCAACTTGTGGCTCTCATTTTGTTGAACTAATCTAAGGCAAGCTTGGCAAAAATGTGTGGCAAAATATGAATGCAAGGCCTAGAACCAAACAGCCCGCAAGTATTTTGTATGTTTTTTTCAAACTGAAAATTCTAATATTTATCTAGCAATCTTTTGCAGGTTGTGAGGCTGCTCCATCATTCCATATTGTCGAGCTTCCTAAAAATGGAGGGGACTTGTTGCAGACTCATAATCTATGATCTCACGTGTTACGTTTTTGGTACCATTTATTTGTCGAACATTTTTAAGAAATTTGACTCTTCGCACTACTAGATAAGTGGCAGCATTCAATATGTAGTTCTACATGAGTTTATCATCATTATGTAAATATGGTTTTGGAATCTTTCACAAGCGCAACAAAACAAACATGATAAGCTCTGCTAAGCTTTCATATTAATGCTACTTATTGTAGACATGCTAATAAACTACTAAGCTTTCATATTAGAATTTTAACGTTCCGTAAGTACTTTCCTTTACTCCCAGTTTTGTAGGTATAATGATCAAGGTCCAGATTCACTAATTAACTGATGGATTTGTGCAAATATTTTGAGGTCAAGCGAAAAGAAAATCAACTTCTTGATTTCACGATTTAGCGAACATGATCAAAGAGTTGTGTAGTCATGAGGACGCCAACTTCACACTGGAATACTTAACGTAAGGAGTCATGAGGCTGGAATATAACACTTCTTTACCTTCTACTTATATTTGCTACAGTGAAGGAGAAACTATCTATCTTGAACACTATGTGTCATTGTTGTATTGTGTAAATTGTAGCCATGCACCCGTAAGTATTAAAGCTAGGAAGGCATGAAGCAGACTTTTATTTTATGTACTCCATTCTTCCCAACATGTAAAGCACTTACTTTGGAGGACACGACTTTGACCTGTTGTATATGCCAAAGTACGTGGATTGAACATGTTTAAAAGGTATGGTAGTATTTCTCTTGAAAAATAATTTTATTCCATGTGTGTATACTAATTTTATAGCCATACACTAAGTGAAAATAATAGTCAAAGTTGTGTGACGAGGAACATAAAAAGGCAAGCGGGCCCTACATTTTGGAAGGAGAGAGAATACTATACATTTTTGGAAGAAGGGGGTATTAGTTTATTGGTGTCACTTAATATCTAATTGTTTTGTTTCAAATATAAGTGTCAAATTGAGTGATTAATTTTGCTTTCCCATGTCATGCATGTGCCTCTAACCTTTACTTGTTCTGATGTACCTGGACCGTAGAACCTTAATGTTCTACACTCCCAACTACACCATGCGACAGGTTGCTTCAATAAGGCTTTTGTCGGCAACGCCAAGAAAATGTTGTGACTTATACAAGAAATGAATTCTAAAAGTAATGGTCTTGTCACTAAAGTTTTAGATGTAATTTAACTTTTCAAAAGTTGTTATCCAAAAATATATTTTTGAATGCTTCAATCTCGTAACACTTCTATGATACAGTTCAATAAACAATGCATTAGCTATAACTAAATGGATCAAATAACCTCATACACCAAAGTAAGCACATCAAACATTGAGTACTTCCATCATCTGATCGATAAATCGTCACTATTTTATATCCTCCCATGGCAACACACGGGCGTTCAACTAGTCTCTGTAATAACACAATATGACAGAATTGCATTTGATTATCTGACTGCACAACACCCCCATACGGCTTCAGTAATGGAGTTAAACTGATCTCAGAAATGGAGATATATAAAATGAATGAGGGGACTGTGAACCATTGCTAAACCAATCGGATTACTTCCCCATTGACCTAGATTTCTCGAACCCACACCGAAATGCATGTAGTTTGTATTAGAAGAGGAACGCTGAGAAGGGGACAACATTGCCCATTGTCCTGGAAATTAAGTTCATTATAGCAATCAGCTGAGCATTTGCAGTTCCATATAATGAAACCTATATATGCTGTCCAACTCTGGCAAAAATTCTAACCCAACGATAATACTAACACCCAAATTTAGGGCACACAATAACGTAACACAATGATTTGCCACTTCAAAGAATGTCTACTGATGATATGGCTATGCTACATTTTTTCTTATCGAGGAATACCATATCAAATTCTTTGGAGCAGATTATTGTCGGCTTTCAGCTTTTCACCAATAAGAATGATAGCTAAACAGACGACAAAGTATAATGTAAATGCTAACTTCTGAGCCTAACATGGAAATACTTGTAACTGTAGCATTACCTCAGTAATAAGCTTGACTTCTTAGTTCATTGATCCACGGCACCTAAACAGCCAGCACGTAGTTAGCAAGTGAATGAGTAAAAGAGAAATATCCTAAAAATGGCACAAACAACTATCTCGATAAAATAAGGATAAGATTAAAATAAAACAAAATTTAATGGTAGCATAAATATTGTATCAGATGAATAAACACATGAAATTATTCTACGGGCACTCTCAAGCTCCAAAAAAATTGAATTTGAGTACTGGCTATTTGTGCTCAGGTCCACATGACGGTGGAACAGTCAGTGGCAAGCGCAGAATTTCGGAACACATCCCAAGCAAATTACAGGAAATAGCACGACAAAGAAAATCAATGAGAAAACAGACGTCATTCAATTTAGCAACATATGAATTCATATGTATGTAGATCATAGTTTAAAATCTTGTTGGCTAATCAAAGTGGATAGCAGGAGTATCAGTTCCTGGTGAGAGTGTCATTTCCAGCTGTCAATTGTTTTGTAGTTTATTCTCTATTAGATCATACTGAAACTTACATAATACTGAAAGTTTAAAA